CGCAACCCGCAGATTGTGAGTCGAGCACCCTAACCACCTGGCCTTTCCTCACTTTTCAGTCCATTTCTTTTAAAATTCCTCGACTTTTTTCAGGTTTGTGGGCCCCCTGTAGATGAATAATTACTTTGTACATGCAACTATAGAAGTCTTTAATCAAACCTTTGGCTATAGGTATGGAGTGACATGTGATAGATTCAGTATGGTGAAGTTCCAGAACTTGTAGAGACCCTTCTTGGGTTGCGACCACCAAAATATCTCCATTTGGACCAAATACTATTCGATGGGCTGGCAGACATATATTGGGCAAAGAATGGATTTTCTTTAAAGATGGAGAATTGGGTTCCTCCTAGAGTAAACCACACAGATCCAATCTAAATATTACTAATTCTCTTGAATCAAACGGACAAGATCATAAACGTTATACAGAAAAATGCATGAATTCAGGACTTAATACAGAAATTAAAGTGTATTTATCAACCAGTATTAAAAATTGGTGTATAAGATATCAAAGCACAAAACTCTTACTATACTGTCTAAAATGTTTTACATAATTACTTTTTTAGTCAAATTTTCACTGAATATAGACAATTTTTTATTATATGCTCAATAACCAATGGATGCTAAAACTTAACAAGGTCATAGATCATGAGTACAGATTAAAAAATTATCAAACCTAAAGTAAAAGTTTCTAGACTTGTTCAGATTTAAATACTTACTAAACATATTCTGAAGAGTCTTAATTGTTCAGTTGTAGAATACGCTAACCATTCAGCAGCCGATGATATCGCAGAGCAAACAAGAATGTCACTTTCTTTTATCTTTATCTCAATTAGTTTCTTCACTTTTGATGATAATGGAAGCACATCCCCATCTTCTCCTAAGATAAAGATACAAATAAGAAAAATATAATATTATAGAATTTTTTTAGAAATAATAATTTTATTGTTCCTGTTCAGAAAGTATGTTTTGAACATAGAAAAAGTATATTTTGGATGATTTAAAAAGTTCATTCACCTATAGTACTTTGTAAATAATTCTTCAAACTCCTAGCATAAGCTCTCACCAAGTCAACGCTGGTTAACTCTATTGTTATGGGTAGCTAGAGGTCAGAGGGCATGTCACCACATTTGTAGACTTACTTTCAAAATTCTAGTATTATACATTAATTAATTTCTTAATTTGAAAGTAAATATAGAAAAAAAATTGGTAAATATCGATTTTTGTGTGTCACATTGGTAAATCATCTTCTCGGTTTGGTCAGATATTGTGTGTCACGTTGGTAAATCATCTTCTTGGTTTGGTCAGATTATATTGTGTGTCACATTGATAAATCATCTTCTCGGTTTGGTCAGATTATATTGTGTGTACATTGGTAAATCATCTTCTAGGTTTGGTCAGATTACATTGTGTGTCACTTTGGTAAATCATCTTCTCGTTTGGTCAGATTATATTGTGTGTCACTTTGGTAAATCATCTTCTCGGTTTGGTCAGATTATATTGTGTGTCACTTTGGTAAATCATCTTCTCGGTTTGGTCAGATTATATTGTGTGTCACTTGGTAAATCATCTTCTCGGTTTGGTCAGATTATATTGTGTGTCACTTTGGTAAATCATCTTCTCGGTTTGGTCAGATTATATTGTGTGTCACATTGGTAAATCATCTTCTCGGTTTGGTCAGATTATATTGTGTGTCTCTTTGGTAAATCATCTTCTCGGTTTGGTCAGATTATATTGTGTGTCACTTTGGTAAATCATCTTCTCAGTTTGGTCAGATTATATTTTATGAAGCCTGCAATACAACATTTGTATTTTCATACGAATTAAAAACTCAAATTTTCAATATTGGCAAATATTTTGTGTAAAAAAGCCTTGTAATGTTTACCAATAACCTGCGAAAATTTGTGAAGATACACATACATTAGTATGAGCTGGGTGGAATCCACACATCCCATGTTTGTAGAATTTTTTGCACAATTTTATGTCATAGAGAAGTCTTGGTTGTTCTAATTAAACTACCAACAACTTTATGATATATAACCTCCATAGTCCTAGCCACATTATTAACACAACCATCAGTGTTATTTAAAATATTAACACTTTGTGTTGTGCTACTTACCCATCAAAGTTGTTTATATTACCATTTCCTGTTGTATTACATATAATTATAGTCCTTCTATTGGATCATCCTGATCTGTAATTACTTACTAGTTTCTCCTGTTACATTATCAGACATTTTGTTTCTTAATTCATGTTAACATTTTCTTAGACCAAAAATGTGTTTCTGATAGTTTCTTACCTCCACTCACATGACATTTCTCGACTTGTATTGACCTTCATATGCACCAATTTTTGCTTACCTCTAGCCTTGATACTCCCACCTATCCTCATGTGAGGTATCTACGTGATAGCATGCAAATAAGCATGCAGCATCTCTCTACCAATAGGAGTGTAACACAACTCTTAGCACAGCTGATTCCTCTATGCAGCACAGTTGAACTTCACTTCGAGATTGAGCAACATAAAAAGACATCAGAAGTGAGGAGGTAAGAAGTGTGAAAAGAGGTAAGAATCTATCGGAAATACATTTTCAGTGTAGGAAAATGTTAATTTCTGATAAGATGTCTTACCTCTTCTCACATAACAGCGACAATCATACACTGATCTGCTGAAGGGACTGGTGTAACATGACCTAGACGAGCCCCGTTCTGAAAGTGCCCAAATGAAGCCCTTGACATGTGTGAATGTAGAATAAGTAAAATAAGTAAAGTAGAAGACCAGACCAGTTCTGAGCTAGGTATATTCTTCACACGTGAAAGTGACTTGTCGCAATAAGGGCAGAAAAATTGGAGGAACCCATAAATTAAATGAAGGGAACCTGCTGTAGAGTGGCTAGGATGCAGCAGACCATAATGGGGAGTTCTACCTCAACCATTGCCAACTGTACCATGATATGAATACCCAGCCCATGGAAGAAAGAGGGTCCTCTACCATTCACATCAGTCACAGGAACTAGAAGGGATAAATATCTTAAGTTCCAAGTACCCACATCATCACATGTACATATCTAGCACAACCAATGCCAGTATCTCCAAAGAAGCAACATTTGTGTGATGGTAGAAAGGTGGACAGTAATGTGGCAGTTCAACTCCAGTCCAGAACCAGGTGGAATTAGGAATGAATCGTCCAGTCTGCAGTAGGAGAAGAGTAACTGGGCCACTCACATGTGAGGAGTTATGTGGCTGGTCCAGCTTCATCAAACACCAGTATCCCCAGGAACCAACATCCAGTGGATGGTAGGAAAGAGGGTGTCCAGCCAGAAGGATGAACTGCACTGTGGCAGAAATCATCCAGTCCATAACCAGGCAGCATCTGGAAAGAACATCAGGTCAGTAGTATGAGGAGTGTATATATATTTTCTTCACTGGTAGAACATCACCGCCCTACTCTCAACTAGTGGAATTGAGCACACTCAAAAAGAAGCCTCCATGGCCTACTACTCCAGCAGTTAGGAGCTGGAAAGTGCTAAGGACTCCCATACTCCTCTGGAAGAAAGGGGGGATGCATTGGAGAGTCACCAACAGGTGACTTTGCAACCTTATATTGAAAAGCAGGCCATTCATGATACAGTCACACCAAGGAGCAGCAGAGATGGGCAGCAATCCTTTTCTGCTTTACTCATGTTAGTCTATAAGTCAATGGTCTGGAGCCAACATATTTATGATGCAAACACTGTGAGAAAAACCTACAAGCAGTTTTGCAGATCATCCCATTTCAATGGTGGGCCCTACTGACATTGAACATACAATGCAGATTTAAGAATATGTATACCTGATCAGGCAATACTCGCCACTGAGTGGGATCTATATATGTGAGAAAAAAAAAAGCATAAAAAAGTACCAACCCACTCATAGAGAGGCCGTGGAGTTCAAGATGGTGATGGGATGTAGAAGGCAACCCGCAGAGCAGGAAATGGCGAGATGATGCAGATAATGTGAGATAAATGTATGAAGAGTGGTCTATATGCCAGAAAAAATTAATATCTTCTAAAGGATGATGGAATCAGGCAGCCAGGGACATGGTAAGATGACAATCATCACGGTTGGGTTGTTTTGAATTTTGCACAAAGCTACATGAGGGCTATCTGTGCTGGTTGTCCCTAGTTTAGCAGTGAAAGACTAGAGGGAAGGCAATTAGTCATCACCACCCACTAGCAACTCCTGAGCTACTCCAATCATCAGGAGAAAAGGAAGAATAAGCCAGATGAATTCAGCTCATATAGGTAATAGGAAAAATATCATGGGAAAGGGAAGGGTTCCAATGAATAAACAAACAGGAACCATGGAAGGGAGCGGAGCAAGCCACATAACAGAGAAGAGCCCATACAGGACATAAAAAGAGATCTGGATTGGAAGGAGGATAAAGGTGAGAAATGGAAGGGAGGGAAATGGGAGTGAAGGCAAATTCATCCTCATGTGCAGCCAAAGTTATAGTTAGGAAAGACCAATCTGGGTATAGGATGACATAGGACTGGTAATATAATATGCAAAAGACATCAACAGGTAACAAATCTCAACCTCAACATCCACATGCCAAGAGGAGGAGGGAAAAGGTCTTTAAGAAGAGATGATTTAAGAAACAGGAAGACATGGGCTGGAATGGAGGGAGAGTGAGGGCTTGGAGGATGACATTGAGGTTCCAATCAGGGAGAGCAGCAGGAAGCAAAGGCAGAGGTAACAAAACAAAAGGGTGAGGACTGGAGAAGTGAAGACATCACAAAATCATGTGAAATGGAAGGTGGCTGACAATGTCACACAAAAACCAGCAATAGTACATACTGACAGCCCCATGTCGAAAAGCCAGGTAAAGAAGGAAGTCGTGTGGGAGAGTAGGATGGGATGGAGAACAACTATGGTGGCAAACATACCACTTATGTTGATAAATTGACATGGAGGAAAAGTGTACTGAATGGAAAACTAGGTAAGAATATGAAGGGATAGTCTGGCAAGAAACCAGACAAATGTCATGCATAAAGATGAAGCGTGGGAAGGGAATGATGTAGCATGCTCGATTGAGGTTGTCTGAAGATGGTGGGTGAAATGGAAAGAGGAATAGGAGGTGTCAGTAGGAGCAGGTGTGGAAACCATGGCTGGACTGGCCAAAGTGGAGCTACCAAGAGGACTCAAGACAGAGTGGCTTGTACAATAGCAAGGACACAATGAAGCCAACAAATGGAAGGATATGCATAAAGTAATGGTCCCCCAATCTGAGGGCATTGACAGCTATAGCCAAAATATGAGAAATAGACCAAAACCTGGGAAGCTTGGCATTCAGGTGGGTAGCATCCAGTTTCAGAGTAGCTCACTGTGAACACAGCCAGCCAAACAGCTGGGGGAGAATCTTGTCAGGGTGCAATAAATGATTGGTGACCAGATTCAGGGCACCTGGTATATGACATGCCATCAAACAACTGTGATGGCTGTGAGCCCAAAATAGGAGGTCCAACATGTGGAAAGATCATATTGGAATTATAAGTTTTTCCTTTAACTAACATACTGGATTCCTTATCCATAGTTCTAGTAAATGCATTAACTTATGTCTCATCTGATCTCCACAATCCAAGTTAACATACCGGTTTCTTCTATTGTGTTATCAAACTTCTAAACTCAAATTGAACTTACCATATTTTGGGTGTAACTTAACCTCCACTTATCAAGTTCTCTTGTGCCACTAAACCTCCATAGCTATAAGAGAGTTATTAGATCCTCCTGTGTCATTTAATATTTCCAGTTGTAAGAAGCTTACCAGGTTTTGTCACTTAACCCCACTACTCTCAATAAAAATAACATTTCATGTTTTATAATTAAAAGATACTTGACTTTTTTTGCTCTTAAAAGCAGTTATGTTAAATATGCATGTGAAAAAGTTTAAAAGGAAATAAAATAAAATATTATACATTATATGCTTTGTCTAACTGTATCCTCAGAGGATTGCATGAGTAATTTAGTTGGATAGTTATAATTAATTTACCATTTTCTCCTGTTGTGTCACCTAGCCTCCAAAGCTCCAGTCTACGTGAATATTGAAGGAGTATGCATCTGGCTGCATGAGCTATATGGGAAAGCTGAGACTAGGAGAAATAAACAAATGAATCAAAATGGTAACAATATAGCATGTCAGCTTCCTGAACATCAAATAAATAATGCTGCATAAATCAGGTTTTATTGTAATATTACATAGGCTTATTAAATAAGCAGCAATTGGTATACTGAACTGACTGGGTTAAGTGTAGTCTCTGCTTAAGAATAAGTAAGCTTTATTTTATATGGAAGCTTTGTTAGTTAGTGGCTTTACTATTAAGTTCCTTAAATTTCATGTTCTTTTACTCGTATCTTCAGCTATTTTGTAGTGGATCCAAAGAAACTTTGTTTCCAACAAGAAGTAAATCTCTAAACTACTTTTGATGTTTTCTGTGGAGAAATCTAGTTTTGGTATAAAAGAAATTGCTACAAATGATACTCTGGGTTCAAAAATTCCTCTTAAAGATAAATGCAGTACGCTCCATGAAGCAGGGTACACAGTTGTTTTTAACACACACAGTAGGTTCGGTAATAGATAGTAAGTTGTAAGACTTGAATATTTAAGAGCTTCATACAATGGTGGTTTTATGAAGTTTTGTGTTCAAATAGTCACAAATTATTTCATAATTCAAATAAATAAGAAAATCACTTTTTAATAAATCTCTTGACATTACCAAATTCATTTATTCTTGAGATTGTATGTGCATGAATTAAGATCTTGATTAAGTTTACAACAAACAACACTGGTATATAGCTTGTGCAGCTGAATTACAAGCCTGGGAATGTCTCTTTACAATAAACTTCTCACGATCTTATGGATGTTCAGTAGTAAATTTAAAACATTAACATTTTCTTATACTGAAAATGCATTTCCGGTAGGTGCTAACCTCTTCTCAACAAACCTATCTCAATTTTCTTTCTGCTCCTAAGCATTGCTAAAATATTTTAATGCTCAGCACACCAGTCTATATATCCCGCACATTTTGAATCACTCTTGAACATGTATATAGCATGTGACCACCTTCCACCAATAGTATTGCACCCCCTATATTGCAACAGCTAGCTCCCTCTAATGATCCCACTCAATCCTTACTTTCAAGAATTGGCAGGATATAAAACGAATAACACTGGCAGTGGGAAGGAAGGGTGAGATTGTGTCTGAGAGAGAGGAGGTAAGTTCCTATCAGAAATACATTTTTTGTGTAAGAAAATGTTAACTTCTGATATTGTCTTATCCATCACACAAACCAGCCTGAAAAACCAGCCAGGTTCTTCAGGTGATAAGCTGCTCTATGAAATGAAAACTGGAAGCAAACTCAATACCCACATTAGGAGAAACAGCAAATCAAGGGACAGTTTCTCTTTTCCAGGGAATACAGCTGGAAGACGTATTTTACATGTCAAAAGGGTACACAGATCTACACTGTCGTTTAGACACTCATTTACACTGCCAGATTACGTGGCTAAGAATGAACCACTGCTAAAGTTAAACTTTTTCATAGTGCATGGATCTTATAACACAAAAACTGTAGTTTAAGTATTTTTTAAAATATTTCCTTTGAAACAAAAGAATTAAAACTTATATAACATAAAAATTCTAATTATAACATACATTATAATGTTAATTTCATTAAGATATATTGATAGTAAAATGGCTAAATTAAAAATTTTGAATGTAATCTGTTCCATACGCAGAACGTAATTTAAAAATGCCTTCAGTAGTAAAAGGGTTAAGAGCAGAAATCATAACTCACCCAACCATAACAGCAGGGAAGATGCATTCTGCACCTGGAATTACAAGGGGGATGTGGAACATTTGTTTAACCACAGGAACAGTGATCCTGCTGCCACTATTACGAAGCAGATGAAGCCCCCAAACTCAACTGTCGGAGCAGAGACAGAAACCTCCTACAACATGAATTAACAAGAAAGGGGCTTCTACTGCACTTAACTGTGGGAACAGGGTAATGTCACCCTGAACCCAATATTATGAGGAGGATCCCATGTAGGCTGGTCTTGTTCCAACCGATAATTGGTCCAACTGGGAATAGGCATCCAGGGGAAAGGAACCCAGCTTTGCTTTCTTCTCACTGAGTGGATAAATGTGTGGTTGTATTGCAAGGTAAATCTGTACTTCACAATCAAGAAGAAGCCTCCTTGGTCCACCATCCCAGTGACTGGGAACTGGTAAAACTCTCATGTTCCACTTGGAGATAAAAGGAGGAAGAAAATACAGTGGGCAGTCCGGTGGAACATTACACTGGAGAGAGAGAGTGCAAAGGGTGTCCATGATTACGTATTTTGAAAAGCAAACCATCCTCAATTTATGTAATCAAAGGGTTGGCAGGGATGAGCAGAAATCCCCTTTTGCTTTACTCATGATAGTCCACCATTGAGTTAAACTTACAAATACCTATAAACACATAATTATCTACCACAAGGCATGTCACTAGTGGTCTTGGAGAACACTCATCTCTACAGTAAGAATTATAGCTCTATCGGTGTAATAGTGGAGGTTTGAGAAAGAGCACACCTGACCAGGCAACACTTGCCACAAAATGGGTTCCTATGTGTTGTGGTAAAAAGAGGGTCTCTGAAAAGAAAACATAAATGAAATGTTGTGGAAAGACATACCCCAGTCAAAGGCAAACAGATGTTTGTAGAATTGCCAGGGGATGGAAACAATATCCACCTGAGAAAGATACAGCCAGATAGTGCAGATAATGAGTAACAAAGGAATAGGAAGTAGTCCCCATTCTGTCACGAACGATTTCTTCTAAAGGATGGCGAAGACAAGCAGTCTAAGGCATGGTGATATAACAAATTTCATGAGAAGAAACACTGTGGAGACAGTGACCTTCCATGAATAAGTCTGAATATGCCAGTCTAAGGAATTGACACACCCAACCAGTTAGTGTGACAGGTGATAGATCATGAGAAACAAAGGGTTCCAGGGAATAAAAGGTAGGGAAAGTGAACCCCAAAAGAAGGCCATATGACACTATAGGTAGCAAACCTGACAGTTCAGTATTAGAATGGGAGTAAAGAAATGAGTGTGAAAACCAAATGGCCTTCCCAGGCCATAGAGGTATTAGGGAGGAATAATAGATAAATATTTGATTGATGAAATCTGCAAGCTAGGAGGAAAAGGAAACGTAATACACCAAATAGCTGATTAACCAGCTGTAAAAAGAAAAAAGGTATAGTGTATGACAGACCAAAATAAGAAGGTGCCAGAAAATATGAATCAAATTTTCTTCTCCTTGATTGTATTCAACCTCAGAAACATCGTCAGGTTGATTGGTTGTTTGTAATTAAGCACAGAGCTACACAATGGGCTTTCTGTGCTCTGCCCACCACGAGTATTGAAACCCAGTTTCTAGCATTGTAAGTCCGCAGACATACCGCTGTGCCACTGGGGGATTTGTCAGGTTGAAAATGAGATGAAATCACAAGACCAGTGCAGGAATGTAACTCCCTGCAAATTAAGGCCTGAACCTCCTCAGCAGATAAAGTCTAACCCAATGCCTGGGTAGTCATACCACAAGTGTTGTCTCCCATAACAGGAATTTCCGTTATCAATAAACAAATGCCTAAACAATTTTAAACAATTGAATGCAAACACAGTAAAAGAAAACTGTTGAAAAAGGTATTGAAATGTTAATGAAGTACAATTGTAAACGGTAGTCACATGTGAAAAACACATGTCTATACAATGCTGTGCCAATTGAGAAAGTGAGGATTGAGCAGGAACATTAGATGGAGCTAACTGTGCCAATATGGGTGTCACAATAGTATTGGTGGAGGGTATTCATACAAAAGTGGTGTGAAATTTGTGGTGTAAATAGACTGGTGCATCGAGTAGTAAAATCTTTTAGCAAAACTTAGGGGGCAGAAAAAATCAAGATAGCTTTGTGTGAGAATGTTAATTTTACTATCAAAATACATCAAGAACTGATGAACGTAATCAGCACTTTCAAGATTGTAGATAATAAAATTTATGACTGAAGAAACATTAGATTGTTTGGAGACAAAATTCATTAACTTGAAAAACACAGAGTTTGAAATACAAAAATAATTTCAATTATTATTAAAAATGAGTTCAGTACCTAACTGTGTTTTTTTTTCCCCCAAGAGATAATTGTATACAAATAATCAATATTGAAACTAGCACAATAAACTTTGCTACAAAACTTTAAATTAGTATTTTCTGATAACATTTTTAGTATATTCTTTCACAAAACCAACAAAAATTTGAAACTACAAGTATCAATGAACATAAATTTCTGTAAGCTATTTATTCAATTTTCTTAAGATGATTATTATAAATTAGTTAAAAGGCTGAAATAATTATATGCTTTGAAATATCATTGTAACTGTTATTCATAATTTCAGTAGACCATGGATATACCATCTGGCAATCCTACCCTTTCACTCAAAAAGTTCTATAACTAACTTGTAAACTATAATGGACTTCTTTTTATTGGGTGTGGGTTTCTAATAAATTAAAAGAGAAAAAAACACTTAACTTTAGTTAAGTATTCATCAACAAGAAAAAAAAAATTAAGTATTATATTGACCAACTAAATAACTTGTTCAAACAACTTGTTTGGATCATAAGTTAATAATAATTTATATATTTTAACAACTTCAAGAGTAGTTTAAACTACAGACACCTTGGCACAATAATGTGAGGAAATAAAACTACAAAGATTAACTTTGTAAGAAGTGGTTAAAAGCCTTTTTGGTGTGAAAGCTCATTATTTATTTGATAATACCCTTATTATACACCAAAGTGCAGAATGTGATGTTTTTAAATTTTTTGAATGAATGTAAAAAATGTAGAGCTAAAACTTCAGAAGGTAAATGTGTCTCTATCTCAATTTTATCACTCTGAACAATATTATAAATTTCAAAGACAACTGTTACATTTTGAAATGTTTAAATTTTTAACTCTTCAATTTTCAAAGGCCTTTGATCTATTTATATTATTAGTTTTCATTTTTTATATCTTCAAAACTATAAATACATAAAATTAGAATATTCTTGTACAATATATAGTTTTTAATCAAATTATCTAATTTAAAAACTGTAGCTTTAACACACTTTTGGACATTATGTTTTATGTTTTTAGTAGTTTCTCTATTTGTTCAAAACCTGGAGAGATTTTTATTAACTATATTAGCATTCAAATAATTGGAATAATTTTAATGTCTTTTAATAATCATAGCTTGGTTCATCAGTTCCTAAATATAAGTAAACAATAACTGTTAGCATTAAAAAGTGAAAATTTTTGTTATAATCAAACTAAACCAGAGAGTACTGTACTTTTGGATAAAGTGGAATATTTGAGTAAAAGTAGAAGAAATTTTAAACAATTGAACTAAATTTGTCAACCCTGATCAAGACCTTACTAACACTAAAGAAACTGAACTGCTAAACTACAATGATAATTTACTAACTCATATATCACATTATGAAATATGAGGGATGTTTTTATGGACCTACTTAAGTTATGTCCATTAAGAACATATAATCTTGTACTAGCATGTTATTGTTTGAAAGACAATATTAATGAACACAACTTGAAGAGTAGTTTTGAACTTTCTAACAAAAATTCAAAATTTAAAGTTCCACCATAAAACTTATTATGTTAGTTTTGATGTTGAGTCTTGGTACACGAGCATCTCTTTGGAAGAAACAGTGGAATTAAGTGTACTTTTAATAATAATTTAAATGGGTTATATATATCCCCAAAATCTGTAATCATAATGTTAATTAATTTTTGCCATCAAGGAATTAGATGTTTTGTTTAATGTTGATCTTTATGATCAAGTTAGTGATGTAGCTAAGTGTTTTACGTTAGCTCCTCCTTTGGTCAGTCTTTTAAACTAATATATTATTATTCACAGGCTCAAACTTCAACTTTACAAGATATATATATATATATATCAATCATGCTTAAGGAAAACTTAATTAAAATCTTAGTCACATTGTACTTATAATACACCAAACACCTATGTATTTCTGTAAAAAATGTGATAATATCAAGAAATTCTGAAGTGAGAATGGTTTTTCTATCTATTGATAAATATAACCATTTCTGACTATTTGATGAAACAATATTTCATAATGCCACCAATGTATAAAGTTTAGAAACATTAAATTATTATAACTTTACTATTTATTGGTTAAAGTATCTTCTAAATTAATAAAACAACTACATATCAAACATTGTACCTGCATATGTAATTAAGATATATTTCTAAACCAGGATGTCATCTACAAGTATTTCTTCAGATACAGACTTTTTCCACTGAAAATATCAAATGTAGTTTACTGATTTATTCTTCCTTCCTGTGAGTAAAGTTATATCAGATCCATTATAAGCTTGCTGTATACTAGTGAAAGAATGTACAAGTACACTGAAGAGGTTGAGCACAACTTGGCTGAGTGTGAAATGGTTGTCCAAATTATTTCAAGATCGTAGCTAAAGTCAATGACTAAACAAAATATCATTATAAAAGAGAATTTATTCAAAGCTAGGTCTAAGTTAACCAAGTCAATTCAACTCATGTTATCAAAACAACGAAAACATTTATGTCAAGTTATTTCTTTATAGGTAAATTATATAAAAACTGATAACAAGTTTTGTTTATGATACTGAAACAATGCATGCAAACAAGCTGGAAAATGTATGAAATGTTTAACTGATTATATAATACTATAACAGTACACAAAACTTCTTTGAGGTATATTTTTCAAAGTGTTCAGAAAATTTGATAATATGAAAGCAAACAATAGATATTAAACTTGGAAGAAAAGTATTTAATTAAAGATAATCACACGGTTATTTACACGAGAGTACGATAAGTGACATTCTGAACATTAATTACCAAGTTCCTGCCTTTCATTTATCTTGAATATTAATTTCAAAAATAATTTCTCTCACTTTTGACAATAGAGACTGAAAATGATATACACTTTTTATTAATGATTTTCTTAACTTTTTAATGGAGAAAGACAAAATTAGGGACTTGTCTAGAACTATACTCTTTGTTCTATTATTGTCTATCTAAACGAAGTTATTTAGGCCAGGAATTATTATAATGAAACAAATTTTGTTTTGTAATTAAATAAACAGAAAATAAATAATATTTTGATGAATAAGATACACTAAACTAGTGAATGAAAAGCATAATGAACTTTGACCTTCTCACAGGGCCTGTCACAAGCAGAAACAAATTACTTTACAAAATATATGGTCAAACATGTGGTGGTTTTTTTCTTTTTTGATCACACTTCATTTCTATATACCTTTACCCTTGAAATTACTGGTAAAAAAAGTTATTTCTACTTTTTCTCAGCTGCAAAGACCAAAATATTTGTAGGTTACTCCAGCTAAATATGTTGTTTTAAAATTTTCCTGTTCTACATTTTAGTCATTCAACTTGTAGATAACACTAGCTTAAGAAATTACGAAAAAATAAAACTAACTAAAACAGAGAATGTTCTGAGATAAAACTTATAATAAAACTTATGTTTATACCTACTTGAAGAAATGGAGGATACTTGAGACATATCTTTGGTGGATATTTACTAAGGACCAGGTATGTATCCACACCTAAAAACCCAAAAATAAAAGCAAAGCTTCATTTGATTAAAAGTATTTCTATTAGTAGTGACAGCTTTATAGTAAAAATATCTTTATTTTGTATGTGAGTTAATAAAATCTGACTGACTTATACACTATAAAGTGGCCACTTATGTCTTAGTAAAAAAGATTACCTAAACAAAATACAGTAGAAAGAAACGTCCTTATAATTTGAGAAGGGACGGTACTTTGCAGCTGACTTTGAAGCTAATACACTTAAATTCTTAACCTCTGCTCATTCTCAGATTCACTAAAGCTGTCAGTTGTACAATGAGATTACATTTAGTTAGAATGTATTGATGGAAGTATTCTTAGGTCTTATTAGAATATGTCCCATTATGTGAGTAGATAGCCACCAACGAGTGGAAACCATGCATTTCCCCAAGGACAAAGATACTTCAATTAGGGAACAATATCCTTAAAATGGAATACGTTTATTTTTCTAAAACTAGTTTTGAGACACACACAGTTTGTATTTGTTAAAATACTCTAATTAAGGGAGTCATTAATGTAACTTACTAAGTGCTATATGTACAGTGTTTTTAGTTGCTTTTTACTCACTGTAGTCACCAAACATGCTCACCCTTTTAGCCATTGAGTGCTGTGCTCACCATCAATATCAAAATGCCAGTTTTTAGCTTTATGAGCTGCCAGACTTACTGGGCTTCATACTTGAGTGCTGTACTCACCATGAATATCAAAATCCAGTTTTTAATGTTATGAGCTGCCAGACTTACTGCTGTTCCACTGAAGGTTGATTGGGTTTTATATTTATTTTTAATTTTGAAAATGTTTGTTTTGTATAAGTTAAAACTATCAGAACAGGTTTTTCTTTGGGAACAGTAAACTTTCATTTTGTAGCTTTGTTCTTGCATCATTGAAAGTCAGTATGGTAACAGATTTAATAATTTACAGTTACACTTTGTTACTGGAAGAACGTTTTATATAACTTAACGAGTTCAATTAACAGTATTGTTGACAGGATTATTTGTGATCTACAAAACCAAGAATCACTTCTAAAATTCTATTGAAGAGGTATCTCTCCAGTTTTGTTTCTTTATTGTAAGTTTGTATATTTCTTATATCTCTAATAACATAGATCTAGGTTTAGTGAAGTTATAGTTTTAAATGAACAGAAATTACATTTTATGTGTAGAAGATTAACTTATTATCAGGTTGATTAGGCTAACTTGGAAACTGAACTTGCAACTGATAGTTGCTTGTTGGTTTCAGACGTTTTTATTACAGATGGTATGTTGACGACATATTTTATACTTATCAGTCACAATAACATATTTTAAAAATGATAAATATAAAATTTGGTAATAAACAAGAATCTAAGTTCCTTTCCTAGATATGATGTTATAATTAAATAGTTGAGTGTTGTAAATTGGCATTCTCTGGGTTGTATGCTTTTTATCTTTCTTCAACTGGAAGAGGTATCTCTCCAGTTTTGTTTCATTATTGAAGAGGTATCTCTCCAGTTTTGTTTCATTATTGAAAAGGTCTCTCCAGTTTTGTTTCAATTTACATAAAAACATGTATATAATGCAGGAATCATACAGGATATAATGCAAGAATCATACAGGATATAATGCAGGAATCATACAGGATATAATGCAGGTATTATACAGGATATAATGCAGGTATTATACAGGATATAATGCAGGAATCATACAGGATATAATGCAGGAATATAATGACAGGAATCATACATGATATAATGCAGGAATCATACATGATATAATGCAGGAATCATACAGGATATAATGCAGGAATCATACATGATATAATGCAGGAATCATACAGGATATAATGCAGGAATTATACATGATATAATGCAGGAATCATACAGGATATAATGCAGGAATCATACATGATATAATGCAGGAATCATACATGATATGCATAAAATCCATAAATCAAATTTTCTTATATGACCAGCAATGCTAAGTAATATTTTCTTTCTTCTAACATCGCAAATAGTTTTGTTAAACACATAATGTTCAAAATTGAGGGGAAAAAAAAAGACAATTGTAAGTTTTACAAATACTTGTGAAATGTACAATTATCTGTGTTTTTTACCTCAGTTCTGTACTTATGGAGTTTCACCAAGTACTGATAATTTAAAGTATTAACTACATATTATTCAAGTTGATGTATCTCACAGTAAGGAATCATATTTTATATTTCATGGATTCATTTACTATCAAATTGATGGGATTAGCATGGTAGTTAAATATATAACTGTTGTGGCTAACTTATTTAAAGATTTCTAGAATTAATAACAATTAGAAAGTTGTTCACTTTATTACAGTTGGTATACTAATGACACTTTTACCAATTCTAAGTCTTCCAAATATAATTGTTTCTGGATAATCTGGTATTTAATCAACAGCATCATTCTCCAGATGGGTCATGGTTCAAAGGCCATGTCATTGCTTTTGTTGACTCATATTCAAAATTTTATTGAACTACGATTTCATGAATTTATGCCAGTAAGTTTGATATCAAACTGTTGATTATAATTCAAATGTTAGTATTATACATTATTTAATTTCTTAATTTGATAGTAAATATTTAAAAACAGTTAAACATCAACTTATGTGTCATTTGATATGTTGAATGCAGCACTGGTTCAAATAAGATGTTTGTGATGTCAAAATACTAAGTCTATAGTTTTGTACGAATTAGGAACTCAAACTACCTATATTGACAAGCTAGAATATAAAATAAGAACCTTGTGTCTTTTCTGTTTGCTGAGATATCACTCATGTAATAAATAAAACACAGTGGCCCCGCTCACCTGTATAAATTTTTGGAAACGGTCCCTTATATTTATACTTACTTCAATATATAAGGTGTGAATAACCATTCAAAAACTCAGAATGTCCCCCTAGTGGCTTTCTCAGCCATTTTCATGTGTTAAGACATCATTTCTTTCCTTCAAACCAAGATTTCAAGAAGGTAGGTTGTGCTTGGTTTGCTCAAAATGTCATATTTTTTAGACCCAAATACAGCTTAGTTACTAAATTTGTTAAATGATAGTGGAATTCTATGGTATTGATGTAGTAATTTATGTTTTTTGGATATTTAACTGTATATATATAAAACTTTTTAAAAAGTTAATTTCATATCCTCCACATGCAAAATTTTAAAAGGCTTAGTAACCTATGTCAAGCAGCAACTGAGTACTAAGGTCATAACTAGAAGAGATAATTGTTTGCTTTACTTTTTTAGTTACTGTTCTATATTTTAAGAAAAATAAGTTTAAGAACTTATTTCTAAATAGTGTTACGTCTCGGTTCGTTAGTTAATTTTCCTTAAATTCATTCCAACGAAACTTTAGCGACACAAGTCCTTTCTTAAATAAAACTGGTTTATTCTTTCTGAATATAACTTTACCGATACACTTAATTTCAACAGTCACGCTATAATTCTCAACGAACGTCTCACATGCTCGACTTCAACAATACTCCGTTCAATTACACACTCTGACTGCAGTTCAATTACTCATTACACTGTTGTCCCGTCACGTTGTGAACGTCTTATATATACAAGACTAACACATATCTAGTAAATGCTAGGGCATTCTTGAAGGAACAGGATATTTCTAGAAAGGGGTGGCATGATACTAGTCACGTGACCTCGCTGATGCAACAATAGCAATAATCTATATACACATATAATGAATAATAATTGAAATGTGACTGTATTTTATAAAATACTAGTCCACTAAAACACAGCCAAGACAGAGCACTTTTATAATATTTGATACAGTAACATGAGAGCACGTGCGTCACATCATTGTAACTTCTGTATTGTTAGCCAAGCACGGCTGAAAGGTCAATATAGTAAAAATAATAAATATATATATATAAATGTATAATGTTATGAGATTTAAGCTATTTAGTCTAAACATTCATGTTTTCATGTTATAATTTGTTGTCATTCTAGAACGAAAAAGGCATAATTTATATTTATTTCCTAATTCTTATGGTGTTTACAAAATTGGTCAAATCTACTGAACCCATACAGAAATTCATTATTGAAAATAACAGATAAAATATAAAGTTTTTTCTTAACAAACATTTGATAACTATCTGGACATTATAAAGATTTCAAATGTGAAATTTGAAAATGTTCTGATGCATAAAAGTATTTTTAATCTTAAAATGAAAATCACTTTGCATGTTGGATAGGCAACATGCGAAAAAAAAAAGGCATAAGAAAAACGTTGCTTAACAGACCTTAAGATTTAATAAAAAAAATTGATATTTTGCATATGAAACTAATGTTTACTGATAATCTCTCTAAATTTCGTTAACATG